AAACAAAATATGAACACACTAAATCACCATTCCTTTTTTGATAAGGTTATTAAAACAATTTCAAATGTCTTGTTAAGCACCAATTGATTTGTTCCTTACCCCAATAATAGTAACAATAATAAATAAACAATAAAAAATAGCAACTCATTTACAGACAAGGAAACATAAGCAAAGATTCGCCAGGGAGCCAGCCTAGGACTATAGAGTCAGAATTTTGTTTGTTTGGAGACAAGGTTGCCCTGTGCAGCCCTGCTCTGGGAATTGCTGTGTAGTCCATGCTGGCTGGCCTCAAATGTGGAGTTCTCCTGCCTCAACTTTTCAGGCGCTAGTAGGTGTGAGTGATGGTGATACCTAGGCATAGCTAGTATTTTAAAACTAGGCTTGTAGGGTCTAACGACTGTGCTGTATTTCACAGGGGTAGAAAGAGGGTTGAATTAAATGACACATTCCAAAAGAGTCTGTCCTGGAATCTTGTCAACCAGTAGGAACTCACTCTTGACGACCATGGCTTTAGAAAGTTGGCCCAGGGATGCTTAACATTTTTATGAGACTTGGATAACACTCAGGTTTATCGCGTTTACTGGTGGCAGAAAGCTAGATGGGAAAGACAGCTGACGTAGTAGAAAGTCATGACTGGCAGATGGGGTGATAAACAGGAGCAACAAGATACAATTTAGTAAGGACTGCGGTAAGATCCTACACTCCAGCTCCAGCAATAAGCACATATAGGGGTTCCCAGTGTATGAACATGAGGGGGAAAAAAAAACCCTGGGAGACTAATTAGATGCACTGATAAGATTGAAGTTCAAAATCACATATATAGGGGTGGAGAGATGGCTCAGCGGTTAAGAGCACTGGCTGCTCCTGTAGAGGACCTGGGTTTGACTCCCGGCACCCGCATGACAACTCACAATCATTGGTAACTCCTGCCCCACGGGGCCCAAGAGCCCTCTTATGGTCTCCTCAAGTGCTGTGCTGATGTGGTACAGAGACACACATGGAGGACAAACACCCATATACATGAACTAATACAGTTTTTAAAAATCACATATGCAGACCTCTCTCTCTCTCTCTCTCTCTCTCTCACACACACACACACACACACCTCTTTCTCTCTCTCTCACACACACACCTCTCTCTCTCTTTCTCTCTCTCTCTCTCTCTCTCACACACACACACACACTCACACATATACATACATGCAGTAACATGGACTTCATCTATGGGGCCAGTGCTGAGAATGAACCAAGACTTCCCACATGAAGGAGCCGCTCAGTCCCAGCCCTCTCTATACTTTGTGAGACAAGGTCTCACTAAGTTGCCCAGGCAAGCCTTGAACTTCCAGAGAGGCTGGGATAGCAGGCCTGTGCTACCAGGTCTGAGACCTAATGTCGTGTCTGAATGACTTGCACCACTCTAGAGCTGAAGCCACCTCATTCACTGACTCTGAAACACTGCTGACCACAAGCTGCACCCGTATTCTCACACCACTGAGGAAGGAGAATGTCGTCAGTGAAAACACCATGCTTTGCCTTTCTGTTATGGTGACCGAGGTCGTCCTAAGCCTCAGCACTGAGAAAGATGGTGTCACAGCAGTGGGACTGGCTGCTCCTGGGTTGAGTGTTCCAAAAGACTGCAGCCTAACAGGTCAGTCAGGAACCTCGCTGTGACCTCACCTTGACCTCACCACGACTTGCCACGGCCTTGGCTTTGCATAACACCGGAAAGACAACCTTGGAGTCACAGGTGGAGTGTCACCAAACTTGCCTCACGCTAACCAGCCGCCAAGGAAACCCTGGAGAATGTGTGGGCACAAACTCATGGGACTTGCCCATGAGGAACTGATGGGAGGGAAAGGGCAGGGCGGGCTAAACTCCCCATCGCTGATCCTGGAAGCACGGCCTTAAGGCATGGACTGCTGCCAAAGACAAAGGTTTCGTAGGCAGAGATTTCCACCTCGTGTGTCATGTCCACAGGAAGGATGGCTGGGCTAAAATTTCCCCAGCTTCTCACGTCTCATCTGAAATTGGTTCACTTCCGTTGATGTACGTGTCACGTTTCCCAAAGCTATCAATGGGGCCAGTTTCAGGGGTTCGATTTCTGGTTCCCTCTCCCTCCCTCTCCCTCCCTCTCCCTCCCCTCCCTCTCCAGCACTTCTCTTTAAAGAGGGCATCTCCTGTGTACCAATTGCACCCGGCTGAATCTCCCGATCCTTCCGCCTCCCCAGTGCTGGGCTAACAAGAGTGTACCACATGCCTGGTTTGTGCAGTGCAGGGGGGATTGAACCCGGGGCCTCAGGCACACTAGGGCTCCACCTGCAGACTTCTCTCCTCTTTCCCTTTCCCCCCACGCCCCACCCCCTTCTTTCTAGAAGGTGTCTCCCGCTGCTCCTGAGGCTGCCTGGAACTCTCCACATATCCCACGCTGGACTCTCACTAGCTGTGACCACCCTACAGAGCCCTCTCCAGGGCTGCGGTTTTCGGCAACCGCCCTACCCGTCTTGCAGTTTTAAAGAATTTTTTCGAGGACTTTCTTTGAAGTCAGTGATTCAGCGACACTCAGCCACCACCCAAACACAATTTAATACTGGTTCTTTCTTGATCTTTTAAATATAAATTCATTTGTTTACTCAGAGATGGGGAACAGGTTCAAGGGTTGCTTCTCTCCCCATTTTGCTGAGGCAGGCTCTCTCTGTTTCTGCTGCCATGTGGTATTTAACAAGCTAATGGGTTCTCACGCTTCCAAGAGAGCCTCTTATCTCTGCCTCCTATCTGCTCCTTGGGAGTGCTGGAATTATGGATTTTTGCCACCAAAATCTTATTTTTTATATAGTTCCAGGGGTCAAACTCAAGTCACTAGGCTGTGCCTGTAGCTTTCCCAAGCACCCATTTCCCTGGCCCTTTCTCTCCCTCATTTCAGACACTATCCATGGAACTTCAGCAAACAGCCAGGACTGTGCTGCCCCCGAAACAGTCCTTCAGTCGTTGGATGAGAAGTCGACAGGTTACCACTGTCCACTTATGCCACCAGAAATATAAAGCTAGCAGGGACATATGTCACAGTGATGCTTACCTCCTAATTGTCACCTGGCCAGTAGCCAGGAGAGCCACCCTTACCTCAGAAGTGCCTTGTGTAGAAAGCTTGGTTCCATTCGGGCAGTGCTGTCGCAGGCCTTTAATTCCAGGGCTCGGGAGGCAGAGGCAGGTGGATCTCTGTGAGTTTGAGGTTAACCTAGTCTATAGAGCGAGTCCTAGGACAGACAGCCAGGGCTGTTACACAGAAAATCCCTGACTGGGAGTTGGGGTGGGGTTGGGGCGGAGAGCTTGGTACCTTGAAATGAGTAAAGCTGAGTATTTAAACTCTACTTGCAGATTGCACCCTTTCCAAATTCCAGACTCCTTTCTGTCTGATGGCAAGGGGACTTGTGAATTCTTTTGTCACAGTTGTGTCTGGAATAAGTTGGTATAATTGTCCACACTTCTGCCAAGAGAATCCTTGAATCCTTGACTGCCAGCCAGGGTCATTCATTCACCTGTAGAGTGACTGACTTCCTGACAGCCAGGATCTCCTGCCTCACTGCCTCTCCCTCTCTTCAACCTTCTGGAATGACCAAGAGCCAGTATACACTCAACGCTCATTCCAGAAATGTGTACTCATAAAGCCGGGGATTTCCAAACAGCACGCGATGTTTCTCTCATTACCTGTGTGAAATACAGTGGCTAAGAACTCAAGCAGGTTCGCATTCTGTCCTGACTTACATCTGAGTGCATACGTGCGTATGTGTGTGTGTTTGTGTGTGTTATATGGTGCTAGGGATTGAATACAGGACCTTGTGCATGCCAGGCAAGTTCTCTGCCATTGACCCACACCCCCAGCTGTATTTCAGGTGAAAGGTATTGTCTGAGTCAGCCTTGATGAGTCTCCGTGACCCTATCGGTACAACAGCAGTTAGGACAATTACTAAGCATATAAGATAAAGCATGTAAGGTGCCGAGTACTTGTCTGGCACATACAAGTGACCAATACTCATTTACTGTTACACCTGTTCTGTAGAGTTCAGAGGAGGGCCGATGGCCAATGTTCTTTTCTTTAAAGTGAGTAAGTTTATTAAGTATATAGCAAGTTAAGGGTGAAAAAATAGATTTCAAGGAGCAGGTAGAGAGAAGCAGTCAGATGGAGGGCTTACAGACACCCAGCAGAAATCAGCCGAGGAGGCCCGATTAAGGTAATCAGCTGGGCTTCCGATTGGCAGAACTCCGTGTAGAACGGAGTGTCCTCTTGGGTGAGGCTCCAAGTAGAAGGACAACTAGCTAAGATAAAGCCACGATGTGGGATTTACCTCTGTATGCTGTGAATATCACTGATTAATAAAGAAACTGCTTTGGGCCTATAGCAAGGCAGAACTTAGCTAGGCAGGGGAAAACGAAACTGAATCCTGGGAGAAAGAAGGCAGGGTCAGTGAGAAGCCATGTAGCCCCACTGGAGACAGATGCCAGACCTTTACCCGGTAAGTCACAGCCTCGTGGCAATAAACAGATTAGTAGAAATGGGTTAAATTAATATGTAAGAGTTAGCCAATAAGAAGCTAGAGCTAATGGGCCAAGCAATGATTTAATTAATACAGTTTCTGTGTGGTTATTTCAGGGCTGAGCTGCCGGTCGGCGGGTAAAGAAACAAGTGACCTCTTACAACACCAGGTGTTTACAAAGGTCCAGCAGGCCACTAGCAGTGGCACCAGGATTTATCCCTACTGCTGTACTGGCTTTTTGGAACCCATTGTCTTTGGATGGGTACCTTGCTCAGCCTAGATATAGTAGGAAGGGCCTTGGTCCTTTCCTCAAAACAATGTGCCTTACCCTCTCTGAGGAGTGGATGGGGGTGGAGTGGAGAGGTAGGTGGAGGGAATGGGAGGAGGGGAGGGAGAGGAAATTAGGATTAGTATATAAAATGAAAAAAGATAGTTTGCTTTTTTAAAAAATAAAATAAAAATTAAAAAAAAAACAAAAACAAAAGGAAAAAACCCCAAAGGTCCAGTAGAGACTGACAGAAAGCTGAAGCAGTCAGTGGGGTCCCCATTTGAGAGAGTTCCCTAGCTCGGTCCTCTCCACGGATGAGCGTCCATTGCTGAAGCTTCTCTCTTTACACCACGGGCCCAGCACCAGGGGCCTCTGTGGCGAACAGTTCACCTCCCAACTGTTCTCCAGGATGCCGTGGGCTCTTTCGGTGCTCTCCTCCCTCCCTGTCATAGCATTAGGAGGACAAGAGGTCTCCATTTCGAGACAAACAAGCTCGGGTCAGAGTGGGAGAGGGCCCCCTCAGAGCCAGCTCCCCAGTGAGCCCAGTCAAGACATGACTCTTTGTTAACTCACTGTACATTCCATTCAGCCTGTAATTTGTTCATGTGTTGTAAAGGAGGTTTTATATCTAACACCTTAGTGGACCGGTGTCATACATTCGGCCCAAATGCAATAAAAAAGTGGTCCTATTTATAAAGGCTTTGGTGTTTAACTGTAGTCTCAGCTTTGGTCTGGTTTGCTTGGCTATTTCATACCCAGATGCAAGAACTTTTATTTATCTTTTCTTTTTACTGTTTTTTTTTCTTGTTGGTGTAGCTCTAAAATTTTTACATATGTAATCCCACATATGCATTTGCCTTTTATCATAATAATCTCTCATAATAATAATTATTAAGGCTTTGGAGCCCAATTCTATAGGCCATGACAGCTCTTCAGTGCCTTAGAGCTGGACAGAGAGACTGATGAAAGGGTCGGTAGGTACCTCCCCCAGGCTCCCCGAAAGAGAGCTCTGTGGCAGCAGCGCTCAGTAGACAGAGGTCGCCGTGGTCGGATGTTGGCATCTGTCACATGTCAAGAAGGACCGAGGATGCAAAGAAAAGCTAGAACCGTGAGATGCAGTCTCCATGGAATATGTAACAGGATCCGGGGTGAGAAGGATGGGCCAGTGTCTTTATCTTAAATTCTGCAAGAGACACATCTGGGTAGCCATTTAAGGGGGCTTCAGTATTATCTGAAGTTCCTTTGGGGTCCCTCCTGAAAATATACTGTATGTTCTCAATTGATTTCTTATTTCAGAAGCTTCTCTTGCTTTTCCTTTTGCAGTGTTTTCTGGAAGACAGGGCTTAATCTCGGAGTGGTGAGCCAGCGAGTGGTGTTATGGAATTTGACCAGTTGTCTCTTTTTAATTGCTTATACTTTTAAAATTGCTTTGGTTGTAGAGTCCTTTTTGATGTTTAAGACTATATAAATGGCCACAGATTCGCCTTCTGTTTTCATCTCTAACTTCATTCGGGACTGCCTGACAGTTACCACTCTTAGAGTCTTCAGGAGAGCTCCACCTGTCAGTTATCCCGTCTGCAGGGCGGGGCCGGCCCTGCTGACCATGTCTTCATTTGAAAGCATATGCCATGCCCCTCTCCATCGGCCCTCCTCCCTGCCCGATGTGTCCTGGGCAGAGTCCGGTCTCCACAGACTCCATGGCCGCTCTCATCAAGGAAGAGGTGACTTATGGAGAGGTTCCCATCATCTCCCGGGGTGTGTCTGGCCTTGGAGGACAAGGGCCAGAACATTGACTGTCGTTAGTGTTTTCTTCATTCTCATTGGTGTAGGCTTCCAGGTTTGGGCTGCTGAATGCCAACCAAAGGGATGGTTTCTCCAATCTTATAATTTCAGTGTAACATTTTAGAGAAACTTCCACAAAATCCAACAGTTTTAAACAAACCCTGATTTTGCCAAGGTTTAGTTTTCTCCAGTGATTAATGCCCAAAAAGCTAGGAAAAACAAAAGTAATTACCTTGATTAGACATACATTTTTTATAATTTTTTGCTTTTTAACATTGCCAAAAGTAGGTCAATGTAATCTTAGGAATTTTAATAACCTTTAATTATTAAACCTACATCATAGTTAAGTCCCACCCTCCAAAACCCTGATGGACTCACTGGGATCTTCTCCAACTTGCTTAGGTGGCCCTGCTTTTGTTTCTATCTTTTTCTTTTTGAATTAAAAAAAAATGTAAAGATAAGTCCTCTTTTCTTTTACCATATTAAATCTCATCTAAACATTCTCTTGTTAATGATTTCTATTTTTTTAAGCAAAAAAAAAGAAAGAAAGAAAAGAAAAGAAAAGAAAAGAAAAAGAAAACAACACAAAACCCAAACTTACTGCAGAGGTTCTGCCATGGGCCGCCCATCATGAAGAGAAGGCGGGAGCTCGGTGGCCAGCCTCTGCTTCCCCAGTTTCTGCTAGACGGGCCCATTAGCACCTAATTTAAGGGTGCTGCTTTCCTGCTGTTCACTGTTCCTATGTGGGACACTCTGCTGCCCCGGGGACTCCAGCGGGCTGCTCCACTGGGCTGTCAGCCAGTCCTAGCTGGATGATGTTCTGTTCTGCCGCGTGTCTCCTCGTCTGCTACTCACGATTTCCCCCTTTGCTTTTGGTTTCCATATACTTGGTAAACTTCCTCACTCAGACTGGAAACACGGCTATCGTAGCTCACACAGAGCACAACTCTATGGTTGCATTCATTTACTGAATTTCATGTTGATCTGAAGCTGTAAAGAGAGATAGTATGGGCTGTTATCATTGAAAGACCAAAATGGAAACTGCAGCAATATTTCATTTGTGTTGTAATAAATAAAGCTTGCCTGAAGATCAGAGAGCAAAACAGCCCCATTGATCAGCCTCACAGACCAGGCAGAGGTGGCACACACCTGCAATCCCAGTAACCACACCAGTTGGCTATAGAGGTCAGGTGGTGGTGGTGCAGGCCTTTAGTCCCAGCACTACAGAAGAATATAAGACGGGAGGAGACAGCTCTCAGTCTCATTCTGAGATTCCTGGAGGCAGAATCACCATTTCAGACTGATAGAGGTAAGAGCTGGGTGCTTTGCTTTTCTGATCTTCAGGTTGAACCCCAATATCTGTCTCTGAGTTTTTATTATTCACAACAGAGACTAGCTGGCAAAGTGACTCCTATCCTGAGGACCTGAGTCTAGATCTTCAGAGCTCACCTAGAAGATAGGTCAGCATGCACCCTTCAATCCCAGCGCTGGGAGGTGGAGCTCACTAGCCAGCTAGGCCAGCAAATCAGTGCTGCCATTTCAGGGAGAGACCCTGACTCCCAAACCAACCAACCAGTGGAGAACAACTGACAGAGACATCCATGTCAACCTCTGTCCTCCACACATGTGCTGACGTGTGTACACACACAGACATGTACTGGGACATACACAAACACTCACACAAAGAATGGAGAAGACTTTTGATTGTTCCAATGAGTTCTTATTTCCTTCTCTGGTGTAGAAGTCCTTCTGTATAAGTGTTGCTTTTATTGGTTAATAAAGAAGCTGGGGTTGGCCAATGGTTTAACAGACTATAGCAAGGCTGGAAGAGATATATAGAGAGAGAATATGTGGAGCCAAGGAGACGCCATGGAGCCACCAGAGGGAAAAGACGTGAGCTGTCAGCTGGAACCTTGCCTGTAGGTCTTGAACCTCATGGCAACATAAAATAATGGAAATAGGTTAATTCTAGATGTAAGAGCTAACCAATAAGAAGCTAGAGCTAATAGGCTAAGCAGTGATTTAATTAATACAGTTCATGTGTGGTTATTTCGGGTCTAGGAAGCAGGGAACGAACAAGCCGGGAACGAACAACACCTCACCTTAAATTCCTCTCTCTGCCCAGCCATATCACCCCTGTCTCCACCTCCCTAGAGCTGGGGCGAAAGGGGTGTGACTCCCAAGTGCTGGGGTCACCTTTGTGTGAGTTCTATTTCTCTTTTTAGACAGATTCAGTCTCCTGTAGCCCAGGATAGTCTTAAGTCCTGGGGTTAAAGGTGTGTGCACCACTCCCTGGCCTCGAGTGGTTTAGCTGGACACTCTGATCTTCAGGAAAGCTCTATTTATTAAAACACAAACAAAATGGCTGCTGAAGACACATCACCTGGGGAGCAGGACATTAGGGTCATGGAAAATGACATGCAAAGAACACGACAGCTGCCCTGGGAGAGTGACCAGCCTTACCCTGCGTAGTCCCTGAAGGCCGACGCCACACAACAGAAAGTAGACACGGGGCGGGGGTGGGGGGAGACCTGATGAGCTTCAGGGGGCAAGAGCTTGTTAAAAAGAAATGATGGCTTGTAAAGAAATGGGACCTCTGTAGCTGGGTGTATTCAAGCTTATGGTGAGAGAGAGAGAGAGAGAGAGAGAGAGAGAGAG